CGCTCGTCACAATATATATATATATAATTTTTTATTTTTTCCTTCATTTTTTATTTTTTTTTGGTTCTTATTCCAGTGTGGTCCCGCCACTGTTTATGCAGTCCATGGTGATGCTTGATGTGAGCCGTCAGCGCTTTGTCCAAACAATGACGGCTACTCCCTGATGCTTTTTTTAATCATTAAGGTTACGGTTTAGGGTCAATACAAATTTTAAGCTCTTACGTTATCTTTTGCACTACACCGACTGTTGTGTTTACGGAGGGCAAATCAATTTACAGAAGGTTCTCACATGCGGTATATTGTTGAAATCACAACCATTCGCTTAAAACCACAGGACTACATCGGTACATCCTATTATGTTTGCCTCCCAATAACATAGTGTCTATGCCAATAAAAAAGATAATCTCACATGTGAGCTCTTTGTTGTCAGAAACAGTAATGGCAGTCATTAGGGTAGATGCTTTCAAACCACCGGACGAGGAAAAAAAAGAAAGACTTATGTACAGATGTAGATTTGGTACCTTACACATACTGCAAAGTGCCTAGCAGACCTCCCAAAGTGTTTCCCTCCGTGTTATGCCTTCTTGACTTTTGTTCGTTGGATTATAGATAGGGTCAAAAAGGTATGATGGGAAAATGGGCAAGGGTGTGCACATTTCACCTCATTGAATTAGCTCTTTTCCAAACTGTTTTCCTGTCTTTGGACTTTTATAGTATGCATACTGATGCTTTGAGGCAACTCAATGGGTCACGCTTATGCACCCTTACTAGGAAATCCGGTGTCTTCACTGATATCAGGTGACATAATGTGTGGCAGCCATGAATGCCTGCGAGGGTAGCGGAGGAATGATCGCTATGACCAAACAGCTCTGTGAATTTTCTGAAAGTCTCTGGCACAGGAATTTTATTTGTTTGCAAATGACATTCCACTTTTACAGACTGTTTTTTTTTTCAAAGTGTCAGTAACCTATTTTCATTTGCTAATACAACCTCCAGGAGTGAATAACACAATCATGCTCCTCCATCAGACCACCAGGAGTGTGGATGATTGATGAAGAAAATCATTTGATTTAGGGCAGAGCCATAACCATCTAGAGGTGTTTTTGTTTCATCCCTTTGTTCTTTCTTGTTATCTTTCTACAGAAAGAATCATAGATGTTATATTATCTGCCACAAAGAATTATGGACTGGGTCCAGATTTAGATAGGTAAGACTTTTGAAATGCATCACTACAAATTCTTTTGCCTATAGGTCCGTGTCCAAGAGTTCTGCTCATTTTTATATACACTATCGTGCAAAAGTCTGGGGTTGTTACAATTATTTTTATTTATTCATTTTTTCATTTTTTGGAAAGTGTCTTATGCTCATCAAGGCTAAATTTATTTGATCAGAAATACTGTAACAACAGTAATAGTGTGAAATACACATACATTACGGGTTATATTACAATGTAATATAACTGATTTCTATTTTAATGTTACTTATTCCTGTTATGGCAAAGCTGAATTTTCAGCATCCATTACTCAAGTCTTCAGTGTCACATATCCCTTCAGAAATCATTCTAATATGCTAATTTGATTCTCAATAATTTCTTATTTTAAATGAGAAAAATTTTACTGCTTTATATTTTTGTGGAAACTGTGATGTGATTTTTTTTTCTCCCAGGATTCTTTGATAAATAGAAAATTGACAAGGACAGCATTTATTGAAATAGCAATCTAACCATGTAGGTAATTCAATTTACTTAATGCTGTGGCCTAACAATAAGATTGTTTCACGTTTCAGATGAAGTGACACGTCAGAAATACATTTAGTAAAATTATTTCCAAAGTCTTTATGGTCCCTTTTGATCAATTTGAAGCATATTTGCTTAAATAAAAAAACTGACCCCAAACTTTTGAGAACCAGTGTATGTATATGTGTGTATAATTTAATGTGTATCAAGCATAAAACATTCTAAACATTCTGTTTGTCTCTGATTGTCATTGTTTGCATAATGCATGTATATAGTTTATTTTTTTACCTGACCAGCTTAAGCTGCTCATATTTGCTCATATGGTCTCTTTGCAGTTTGAGTTGTAAAAGATGTATAATAGTAGGTAATGGCGGTATCCTTAGCAACAAGTCTTTAGGATCCCGCATCGATGAATATGACGTTGTGATAAGGTGAGTGTCCTCAAAGGCACCTTGTTCTGTTTTTTTTTTAATGACCAAATCAATACATTGAACAAACAAAGGGACTTTAGACCCAAATGCAGCTGATTTGCACTGATTCTCGGTATATTTATTCTTTAGACTCAACGAGGCCCCAGTGAGTGGTTACACCAGGGATGTAGGTACTAAGACCACCCTGAGGATAACCTATCCCGAAGGGGCCATCCAGAAGACCGAGCGCTATGAGAAAGATTCCCTCTTTGTCTTCTCTGCTTTCAAACCTCTTGACTTTAAATGGTTGAGACAGATGGTCTTCAAAGAGAAACTGGTAAGACAAAATGCAGTAGTATGTGACCATACTGGCTTGTTTCTCTCATTAAAATCTGTTGTCTTTTTTTTTTTTTTCT